GCCCAGCCTGGAGTACAGTGGCACAATCATGATCATAGCTCATTGCAGCCGCAGCTTCCAGTTCCTGGGCTCCCACAATCTTTCCACCTCAACCTCCCAAAGTGCTGGGATTACAGGGAGGAGCCATCATGCCCAACTTCTATTCTTTTTAAAAATCAAATATTTAATTATATAGAATATAGAATATATAAGTTGAATATATAGAATAATTGGAAAATAAACACCCTCATATCCAACTTTTACCTTAAGAAACAGATTATTACCAAAAACTGTTGCAACCTTTTGTGTTGTTTTGAACTTCATTCTCCCAAAACATTTCTTCCAGGTGTCATCATCTTGATTATTATATTAATCATCCTCCTTCACTTTTGTATGCTTTCGCTATTACAAAAGCATTCCTAAACAGCATATTTTCATATTATTTTGTTTTGTATGGTTTTGAAGCTTGTCTAAAAAAATGAAAATGTATGAGTTTCTTCCTACAATTTTCCTATTTCACTAAGGGTCATCCACTTTAGTCGAATAGACATAGCACATTTTCACCACTATACAGCATCATTTTGTACAAGTAGACTACAGTTTACTTATTCTCCATTTATTTCTGTTTGTTTGTTTGTTTGTTTTTTTGCTATGAAAAGCGATATCGTTACATATACTCATGCCCATAGCTACAAGTTTACATATTCAGGTTTTCTGTAGAGTGGACACCAGGGAGTTGAATTGTTCAGCAGGACGGTATGTGCATCTTTAATTTTACTGGCCAACACCAAATTGTTCTTCACAATGTTTGAACTGAGTTGAAATTCCACCTCCCCATCACATTTAGTGTTGTCAACTTCATTTCTTCATTCACTAATTCATTAATTCAGTCTTTTATTTATTTTTTTATTTCTAGTCTGGTAGGTGTATAATGGTGCTTCATCGTGGTTTTACTTTGCATTTCTCTGATTTTCCTTTTAAATTTTTTAAAAATTATTTTTATATGGAAACAGGGTCTCACTTTATTGCCCAGGCTGGTCTTGAACTCCTGGCTTCAAATGATCCTCCTACCTTGGTCTTTCAAAGTACCCAGATTGATTATAGGCATGTGCCACTGTGTCCAGGTGATCCGCCTGCCTCGGCCTCCCAAAGTGCTGGGGTTATAGGCGTGAGCCACCGTGGCTGGACGTCTTTCCTCATTTGTATGTTAAATAGGCTTTTATCTTACCTGTTGGTTTTTGTAAGACTTTTGGACACTCTGGAGGCCGATTTTTGTTAATTATATGTGTTGCAAATGTTATGGTTCGTCTTATGCCTTTTGAAAGTAAAAGTTCTTAACTTGGTTATAACATAGCGAAGCCATCCATCAGTTGTAAAAGTTGTTGGTTTAAGACGGTCTTGCATCGAAGGATGGATATTCCATCGATGGATCAGTCAGGAAATACATTTTGTTGTCTTTTTTTTTTTTTTTGGAGGGACAGAGTCGGGTCACGTCTGGTGCCCACGGGCTTGGGAGTGCCAGGTGGGGTCCAATCTGGGGTTCACTGCAACCTCTGCCTCCTGGATCTTAAGCAATTCTCCTGCCCCTCAGCCTCCCGATAGCTGGGATCATAGTCCCTGCGCCACCAACTGGCTAATTTTCTGCTATTTTTAGTAGAGCATAGCGGTTTCACCATTTTGCCCAGCGCTGTCTTTGACACTCCTAAACTCAAGTAATGCCACCCACCTTCAGCCTCCCAAGTGCTGGGATTATAGGTGTGAACCACCAGAGTGCCTGAGCTCATAGAAATACATGTTTATGTATTTTCTTCTAAAGTTGTTTTGTCTTTCATTTTTAAGTTTTTAATTCACATATAATTACCACTTACTACTTATAATTATCTTAAGTAGTATAAGAAATAAATTCTAATTCCCTTCTAGGAATAAGCACAAACCTGCAATATTAGCACAGTCTTATGTCATATTTTCTAAAATGAATGGATGTGTTTTCTAGGCTCTCTGTTCTGTTTCATTGTCTGTCTTTCCCTGCAACAATATCATCTGCCTTAAACACTCTAGCTTTATGGTATTCCTCGTTTTCAAGTAGAGCAAACCGTCACCTGGCTTTTCTCCTCCAGCATCGCTTGTGCTATCCTGGACTAGGACCTTCATCGAGCTTGTTAGATCATCTAGCCAAGTTCTATTTTAAAAATTATGTCCGAGGCTGGATCAGTGGCTCACCTGTAACCCAGACTTTGGGAGGCGAGCGGCGCTGGCATCCTTGAGTCAACGCAGTTTGCAGACCGGCCTCGGCAAAACCTGGCAAACTCTTCTCTAACATTACCATTAGCTGGCTCTAGCGCCTGATCCAGCTACTCGCCAGAGGCTGAGCGGAGAATCTGCGTGCCCTGCCAGCAGCGTGGAGGTTGCTGTGCGCGACGACTTGTGCCCTGCACTCAGCCTCGGGTGCCCGAGTGAGCTCCCTTTCCCCTCAACTACACTTACCCTCGCTCACATAACGATCGCATCCCCCTCTATTTTCTGGCCCTTTGGCTCCCCTTCTTCCCTGCTCTCCTTCAATTTAGACGCCAACTGCACACTGCTTTCGATCTTCTATTTAATATGTTTCTGTCCTTGCTGAATCGCGCACCCCTACGAGGCGGCCAGAGCTCGCATACCTGATCACTACATTCCCTCGCGTACACCCCTCAATCATTGCTCACTTGCTGCCTTCTTCTTTTGTCCATGTCTCTCACTATAGTCCCCGCCGAGACCCTCTCTCTCATATTTACCTTCTTTAGCTATTCATCATCTCGAGTTTTCTGCCCATGCTATGGTTCACCGCGACCTCTTCCTTTGGGCGTCTGAGGTGGATGGATCACCTGAGGTCAGGAGTTTGAGACCAGCCTGGCCAACATGGCAAAATCCCATCTCTACTAAAAACACAGTAATTAGCCAGGCGTGGTGACATATGCCTGTAGTCCCAGCTACTCAGGCGGCTGAGGCAGGAGAATTGCTTGAACCTAGGAGGCGGAGGTTGCAGTGAACTGAGATCATCATGCCACTGCATTGCAGCCTGGGCAACAGAGCAAGACTCCGTCTCAAAAAAAATTAAAAAAAGAAAATATATCCTTTCATTTACTAGTTTTTTCTTCAATTTCTTTCAAGCTAAGGGGCTTACCTATCTTCTGCTTTATTCATAGTTACTTGATATTTTTGTTTCTAATAAATATGGTATCTTTTGATTTTACTGCCTCTTACCTGTTCATTGCCAGTTTCAAAAATGATATTGATATTTGCATATTAACCTTAAATCTAGCACCTTGGTAAATACTATTATTCATTCTAATAATTATTAGTAGATCCTATGTATTTTCTATTTATAAATTATATTGTTTAAGTGGAATGCTTTGCTTCTTCATTTATAAAATTTACAACTTTTATCTCTTTTTAGTATTTTTTTCTTATTCTCCTGGCTAGGACCTCTAACACAGTATTGAGTGGAAGTGCTGATCTTTGTTTAGTTTCACATTTAAAGAAAAGATTGTTTTTAATATCTCACTGTTAAGCATAATATGCACTGTAGGCTTTCTGTGGATTCCTTTTATCCATTTAAGAACATCTCCTCTTATTCCTAATTAGCTGAAGTTTTCTGTGTGTTTGTTTTAATCGTAAATGGATTTCTTACATCTACTGAAACCATTTTACATAAAAGATATTTCACACCTATTGAAATGGTCATTTCATTTTTCCTCCTTTAATATGTTAAGTTGGGCAAAATATTAAAGTATTGCCAGTCATTCTGCTTCAGCAAAAAGTAGTAGTTTTTTTTAGCAGTTTTGGTGAAAAGAGAGCATCAAATAAGAAAGACATAGAAGTAGGACCCAGTAAAAATCTAGTGCATGGGGCATTGCCACATGTGAGCAGACAGAATGTGGTACCACCAAGGAGCATCTGGAGGGCTGGAGGCTGAAGGAAGATGAGTCACCCAGGCTCGTGGACACTTCAGAGAAATTAGGGAGCAGGAAGAAGAAATAGGATCAAAGACTATGTATGATGGTTGGAAAAGGAAGTTGATGGTATGGAGATGTTATCATTTGGGTCTCACATAAAGATGTAGATAGATAGATGATAGATAGATAGATAGATAGATAGATAGATAGATAGATAGATAATAAGTAGATGTTATTATTTAGTCCTCACATAACAGATGTAGATAGATTAGATAGATGATAGATAGATAGATAGATAGATAGATAAATAGATAGATAGATAGATAGATTAGATAGATAGATATCTCAGAAACAGAGACACAGACAGAGATCTCAGTAAGATAGGCATATGCCAGGTGACAGAATTCAGAGGGGTCCCGCTATGTGAAAACAATAGAACAACCTTCAAAAGTTGATGAAAAGAAATTTAGTACAAATAAGAGGGCAAGCTTCCTTACATACAAGTTAATAAACTGGAAGAATTGGTTATCCCCAAACCCTGGAATAGATCAAAAACAGTTGTTTATATTAATGAAGGCAGCTAAATATGAAGCTGAGCAAACCTGTCTCTGACCTAGTGGGGCAATCCCTGGGCAAGGGACACTTGCTCCGCTCCTGTGTCCTTTGCTGAATATTCAGACCTTCAGTTCAGCATCGGTAAATTTAGTTTTCATCTCTTGTAAAAGCCTTGAGAGTGGTGATTCTCTCTGCCTTTCTTCTCCTCCCTTCCCTCATTTTCTCAAACATCGCCTTTTTAAAATATGAAATTTTAAAATATGGCCTTGATCTCTTTTTTGTTGTTATTAAGTACAGAGAAAGGAAGAACCACAAATAGAAAAGGGCAGCATGTGGAATAGTTTAGAAGTTCTGGGAGCACCCATGAGGGCAACTGCAGAAGAGAACATTCTATCCCCCATTGTTGCAGCTTTCATTCCAGGTCTGTGCATATCAGATAGGGAAGGAGCTCCTGGAGAGCAGCAGGGTCCATGCACATGTAACCAACTGCTTTATTTGCCTGTAGCAAAGTTCACATTTTGATTGCTTTTCCAGATCATGTAGATCCAGACATATTTTATTCAGTCATCCGGATCTTTCTCTCTGGGTAAGTATAGTTCACTTGTTTTCCTGTGTGAAGTCTCTGTAGCATTGACTGAGTGTGTAAGGGGGGAAAGAGACAGAAGCTTCCTAGCATAAGAAACATACCAAGTGACCCTTGCTAGGGATCCACTCTCAGGTAAAAGAAGTGGGATACTATCTGCACTACAAATAACACTGAGGGCTAAATAGTTCTGTTCAAACTGTTTGCTCCTAGGCAATCTAGATCCATTTATATTCACTTTTCTTAGAATTATAGCTCAATGACAGAAGGAGAAGAAAAACACAGTATGTCACTCACACAGTTCTATCACTTACATCTACTTTTTCCTCTTGTTATTAAGGCAGGTAGAGGGGTGGGGAGTGTAGTATAGGGTTGGATAGCATTGAAGCTTTCTTCTAAAGTTCCTGGAAGAGCTACGCTATGGTTTGAATGAATGTGTCCCTCCAAAATTAATATGTTAAAAACTAATTATGATGATGAGGTATTTGAAGGTGCGGCCTCTGGGAGGTGATTATGTCTCCTCTGAGAGGAGAAAACAATCCCCATGCGTGGAACTAATGCCCTTATAAAGGGGCTGGATGGAGCTCATTTGGCCCTTTTTGCTCCTTTTTTTTCAATTCCCTGTCCCTTCCAGTATGTGAGGACACAGGACTTGAGGCATTACCTTGGAAGTGGAGACCAGGCCCTCACCAGACACTGAACTTGCCAGCACCTTGGTCTTGGACTTCCCAGCCTCTGGAACTGTGAGAAATACATTTCTGTTATGGGTAGTCTCCAACTCAATATGGTTTGACTTACCATTTTTTGACTTTATGTTGGTGCAAAAGCATACATATTCTGTAGAAACTACTTTGAGTACCCATATGACCATTCTGTTTTTCACATTCGGTACAGTATTTAATAAATTCCATAACATATTCAACATGTTGACATACATAAGCTTTGTGTTAGGTGACTTTGCCCAACTGTGGGCTAATGTAAGTGTTCTGAGTGCATTTAAAGGCAGCTAAGGTGTTTGGTTGGTCAGGTGTATTAAACGCATTTTTGCCTTATGATATTTTCAACTTACAATGGGTTTATCAGGATGTAACCTACTGTGAGTTAAGGAACATCTATATTTACAAATTACCCAGTCTAATGTATTTTGTTGTAGCAACAGGAACAGACTAAGACACTACCCCAAACCATTTGTTTCATATTTTCTGAGTACTCTTCTTTTGTCACATGGCTTAAGATTTCTCCACAGAGAGAACTCTACTATTATTTTATTTTATTTTATTTTATTTTATTTTATTTTATTTTATTTTATTTTTGAGACAGAGTCTTGCTCTTTTCACCCAGGCTGGAGTGCAGTGGCACCATCTTGGCTCATGGCAACCTCTGCCTCCTGGGTTCAAACAACTCTCCTGCCTCAGCCTCCCAAGTAGCTGGGATTACAGGTGGCTGTCACCAAGCCTGGCTAATTTTTGTATTTTTAGTAGAGATGGGGTTTTGTCATGTTAGTCAGGCTGGTCTCGAACTCCTGACCTCAGGTGATCTGCCTGCCTTGGCCTCCCAAAGTGTTGGGATTACAGGCGTAAGCCACCACGCCTGGTTGATAACTCTACTTTTAGATACTTGCTTTGCTTAAACAAATTAGCCATTCCTTCCTTGACATGTTTTAATCAGATTGTCTTCCTATTAACTTTGGAAATTAAGAGTTTTTGGTTTGTTTTTGTTTAATTTTTAAACAGTGAAAAATGAAAGGTGGAGGCAATCACTGGATGAGGTGAATATGTCAAATAGATATCATCTAGTGGGCCATCTTATTAACTAGGAGATACCTGAAATGCTATCAATGGAAATAATCTGAAGCTGTGTCTGGATACAGCAAGAGACATGCAAATGCTAAAAATCTACTGTATTACATTGGTGAAAGGACAGAGTAGCAACACATACTAAGTATTTTCTCCAGATTGGATGGGTTTGACTTGTGAAGCACTTCAAACAGAGTCCAGCCTGAGAGAGAGTGGGGGTGGAATCCTCCTTGTAGAGGGTACAGAGTGGAAGCAAAAAGATTTCCAAGATTGAGAGTAATGGGTGCATGGTTTATGGGGAAAAGGGAAAACAAAAAGAAGGGTGCAGAAATGGAGCTGAGAGTGTGCTTAGTATTTAGACTTTCTCTGTATACCTTTGAAGGATTAGAAAAAGAAAAATGGACCATTTTTTAAAATTTCCTGCTACCACATAGTGGCCTTATACTATAGATGCAGAAACAGACTGGCACTTAGGAAGCACCTAATTCTGGAAAATCCCTTTGTGCTTCACATTGCTCTCTAAATCTATATGTTTTTCCTTGTTACACAACAATTTCCACAAAGTTAGTAGCTTAAAACAATATGCCTTCATCGTTCCACAATTCTGTAAGTCAGAATCACAGGCAAGCTCAACTGACTTTTCCATTTAGGGTCTCAAAAGGCCAAAGTCAATTTATCTGTTGGGCTGGGCTCTTAACTGAAGATCTGGGGAAGAATTCCCTTCAAAACTCATTTAGGTTGTTTTCAGAATTCAGTGTTTTGTGGTTCCAGAACTGAGATCTGTTTCTTTGCTGGCTGTCAGACAGGAGCTGCTCTCAGCTTCTTGAGGCATCCAGTATTCCTTGTCATGTGGTTTCTTCCATCTCCGTATTGGCACTTTTTTTTTTTTTTAAGACAGAGTCGTGCAGTGGCACGATCTCGGCTCACCACAACTCCGCCTCCCGGGTTCAAGTGATTCTCCTGCCTCAGCCTCCCGAGTAGCTGGGATTACAGACACCCGCCACCAGCCCGGCTGTATTTTTTGTAGAGACGGGGTCTCACCATGTGGGCTAGGCTAGTCTCAAACTCCTGACCTCAGGTGATCTGCCCACCTTGGCCTCCCAAAGTGCTGGGATTATAGGCATGAGCCACCAGACCCGGCCTTTTTGCTTGCTTTTTAAAAAACATTTTTATTTAGGAGAATGGAGATATTTCATGTGTAGATGACACATATTCATTCCTTTTAGTTTTAGTTTCCACTCACATTAAATTTCTTGAGGAAGTTATTAGCCTTTGCAAAAAAACCATCTCATTTTTTTCCTACCAAAACTTCCTGTTTTCTTGGGGTTGCTATAAGAAAGGTTAAAAATAATCATGCCTACAGATATTTGAAAGGAAAATAGTTCCTCTTTTTTCACAGTAGCAGCTTGTGCCTGAGAATGTATGGGAGCAATATTTGGATTGCTCAAAGAAACACCCTTTCCCTTCCTCAGACTAGAATTGCAAGCTAGAGAACATGAGTTTTGAAAGTAGATGTGCTTCTTTTATCTTTTTGGACTTTCATGCTGATATTTGCTCTGTCACCTTCAATGTGACATCTCTTCAGGGCAAGGCACTGAAAACAGATTGATTAATGTCCCTTGACCATTTGAGACACTGGATGGCTCTTTTAAGCTGGCCACGTTCTTTCAAGAACTATGCTTGGGTCTACATATTCTGGCTATATAATACATACTTATAGGATGCTATTTTTAAATCATTCATTTATCACATATTTAGTGAGTGCCTACCCCATGTCAGTTCTAGGTGCTGGGAATAGAGCAGTAAAACTAACCCTCAACTTGGCCCCTCTGGAGCTTACATTTCCATGGTGAGGGATGGACAATTAATACACAAGTAAATCTAATAAAAGCATCATACAATATACATTACAACGATAAGCACAATGAAGAAATGGAAAGCAGGATAGAGTGTATTAGGGACTGTTGAATACAGGGTGGCCAAATTTTCTTGTTTATTGTGGTCCAAGAATGCCACAACCCTCTATGACATTTGAGCAGATACCTGGAGGAAGTGACGGAGTGAGTCGCAAGAAGGAATGGCAAGTGCAATGTCCCTGAGGTGGGAGCGTGTTGGTCATGGTGGAAGAGCTGCAGGAAGCCAGCAGGACTGCAAAACTCAGGGGAGAATGAGAAAGAGTGAGGTGACAGTAGAGACCAGATCATGTAGAGCTTTGTCATCTTCTCTTCTGAGTAAGATGGACAACATTGACACGTTTTGAAAAGAATAACAATGTGATCTGCCTTCAGTTGCAAATCATCTCTGTATTGACTGAGTAGGAAACAGACTCCAAGAATTCAGATGGAAACAGGGAAAATATTTAAGAAGCTATCACTACAATCCAGGGTGGTGGCTTGTACTAGGGTACAAGGGCTAAAAGTGTTGAGAAATGATCAGATTGTGGATATGTACTGAAATCAAAGTTAATGGAAAGATGTGAGTCAAAGATAATTTGCAAGTTTTGGGGGCCTGGTTCACTGAAAGAACAGAGACATCATTTACTCCAATGAGGAAGACTATAGGAGAAGCAGGTTTAGCAAAGAAGAAAGGAAATCAGGAGATCAGTTTAGGGACACATTCATATAAAGTAGGCAGTTGGATATATGGGTCCGGAATATAGGGGAGAGGTCCAGCTATAGGTGTAAATAGCTTTTTACATTTCTAAATAGTCAGGATATAGGCTTTGTTTTTTCTTTTTTTAAGACAGAGTCTCACTCTGTCACCCAGGCTGGAGTGCAGTGGCACAATCTTGGCTCACTGCAACCTCTGCCTCTGGGTTCGAGCGATTCTCCTGCTTCAGCCTCCTGAGTAGCTGGGACTACAGGTGTGCACCACCATGCCAGGCTAATTTTTATATTTTTAATGGAAATGGGGTTTCACCATGTTGACCAGTCTGGTGTCAAACTCCAGACCTCGAGTGATCTCCCCACCTGGGTCTCCCAAAGTGCTGGGATTACAGGCGTGAGCCACCCCATCCAGCTGGGATATAGTTGTTTTCTAAATCTATGAGGCTAGATAAAACCATTTGGAAATTGAGAGTAGTGAGCAGTCCATGGACTGACCCTTTGAGAGTGCAACATTTAGCAGTACTCAAGATGGGAAGGAGCTAGTGAAAGAGCCCCGAATAGCTACATAAGACCATCAACTGGATTACAAAGAAAAACCCGAACAAGTGTGCCCATGTATCACCCAATAGCAGTTATGTCTTTCATATTTCTTCCCCATAAAATGTTCATCAACTTTATTGGACCAGGGTCTTAACGGACAAGTCACAAAACCTCTCTGGAGCCTATTTTGTTTTTCAACAGCTGTAGGAAGCAAATATAAATTGGGAAAACAAAGGCTCAGAAAGATTTGTACAAAGTTAAACAGTAATGAAAAGGGAGCTGGGATTCCCATTCACTCTAAAAATTATGATAAAATGGCTAGTATTCATTGAATGCTTAACATGTTCCAGGCCCTGGGCAGGTATTATTTTAATTAGTTCTCACAATAATCCAATAAGGTAGATACTAATTTTCTCAGATGAGAAAGCTGAGGCTCAGAGAGGTTAATTAACTAAGCCAAGGCTCACTGTTAATAAATAGCAAAGCTAAAATTAAATTCCATATCTGATAGAGGTAAAGGCCTTGCTCCTAATAGCTGCAGCCTGTCAAGACCTGGCAGTAGTAACCTCTCCTTTCCTCTTCCCGCCATTCCCCTGCACTCTTTCTGTACCATATCTCTTTTCAGACTGATGGTGCCCAAGTTACAAGGGCCACCCCACCGTGCTATTTACCCAGTGAAAGGTGTAGCACAGCCAACCCAAAGAGCCCCGAGTGACAACAACCTGGCTCCCTACAGCACTTCCAGCCTCAGAGCAGTATTTGAAAAATATCATGAACAGCAAACATGGCAGTCTGTCTGTGGCTTTTGTATATGTATATGGTGTGTGCGTGTGTCCCTTCTCTTGAGCAAAATGACTTTCAGAATTATAGAAAAATGGTGCCACATCAATGTAAATCTGTTATTTAAACTCATAACAAAGAAAGTAACTTGTTTCTGGCTATAGGAGGAAAAGACGATATTCCTTAGTAAAAATGGAAATCCACATATGAGGTTCTTGTAGAAATGAAGATAGAAAATTGCAAGTTTGGGGATCAAGTTCTGTTTCTATCATCCTTTAACAGTATGACCCTGGAACCTTAATTGCTTTAAGTCTTTGTTAGTTATCTATGAAATGAAGTATTAAAAAAAAAAAAAACCCCAAAACCTGTCCTGATCTACACACAAGAAGTCAAATGAGAAAATGAATGCGAAGATGCTTTATAAACTATACGCATGGTAGGTGCAAATGTGACATGAGCTTGTTCTTGTTTTGGACTCATTATAAAGTCATGCCCACACACTCTGTGATTGTTCAAGACTATGCAAAGTCAGACACAGGAAAATGAATAAAACAGACGGAGGCATAAAGAGGGGGAACTCAGAGAAAACAGTGAAGAACAGGAATCAGAGAGACAAAGAAGGAGAGGAAAGATGGGGAGGAGAAGAGAGGGAAGGGAAGGGAGGAGAGAACAGCTGCTTCGTGGAGCATGGCCGGCAGCCCAGTCCCAGCCTTTCTGCATGTCCCTGACTTCAGCCTCTGGTAAGGCACAGGCTTGCTCTGTGCTTCCTGCTGTTACTCTTCTCATCCATCCTTATTATCAATACCTGTGGTCAACAAAGTATTTGATAAAGGCATCCTCAAAGTCAGGTAACATCTGTACATTACAGATTACAAAGTTAGGTAATATCCAGAATTGATAGTTTAATGTGATGACTTGTTAACAATTATCACTGTTTCAGGGAAGAGCAAAGGGGTGTGTGTGTGTGTGTGTGTGTGTGTGTGTGTTTTCATTTGTGTGTATCCGTGTATGCAATTGTGGGTTTTTGTGTATATTTGTGAGGCTCTTTACTTGGCGGAGTTATAAGTATCTGGTCATCAAGGTTGAGATTAGCGAAGGAAGTGAAGAAGATTTTTCCAGAGCCCCTGAAATGTTCCTGTTGAGCAGCACTGAGGACATCTTTATAACCGAGTATTTGCAATAAATATGTCATGAGACCAGTGCTACAAACTCCTCTCTAAATAGCCTTTACCTATCTGGAATAACCCTTTAGATGAGGAAGTAAAAGGCTATGAATTTATAGCTTGTTATGAAGCTGGAGTGAAGATGATGCTTCAGTACTTACCCTACAAAGATACCCCCAATCCCTCACCCTAAAATTACCATTGAAATCATTTTCCCTTTCTCCTTCACTGTCAGTTTCCATGTCAGAAAATGTACCGTTACCTACCTGCACCCCTTTCTTCTCTCTCACTTTTACTCTTGCTTAGATGGAAAGATAACCCAGCAATGCCTGCAGGGCTGATGTATGAAGGAGTTTCCAAAGAGCCCCTGAAATACTCGGGCGGGAGTGCAGCTCAGAGCACAGTGCTTCATGCCTTTGATGAGTTCTTAGGCATTCGTCATAGCAAGGAAAGTGGTAAGTCAGACATTTTGTTTTCCCTTAAAAGGAGAGGGGGGAAGAGAAGAGGGTTTTTTTTGTTTTTTTTGTTTTAACCAATTGATAAAACCAAATATAAATTAAAATGTCATGAAGTTTATACTTCTCTAAGTCAGCCAAGAAACCACATGACTGCCAATGTTTTTGTGTCAAGTCAATTAATATTGGAATATCAGATCTCAGCTTGATCTTGGGTTTTACTTCCAAATCTTAAAACGTTGCTCTGTTTCCAACTGTTCACTATCACTTTGGTTTGGATCTTTAGAAACTAGCTTCCTTTTTCTGAAATGGGGGAGAGATGTAGAGTTTGAAGGCTATGAGCCTGGGCCAGCTGGAAACAGGTCCGGGATCTTCCGAGAAAGTCCTTCCCCACAAAATGGTGCAACCTCTAGCCAAATCTACTTATACTAGCAGAGGGATCTATCACCCTGGAAACTTGAAATTGCTCATTTTCTTACCTGCCAGGATCAAGTTAAGTTTTTAACAGTTGCAAACAAGACACTTCATACTATGGAGTTTTCAAGTTGGATTAGAAGAAAAAGAATCACCAGAACTTAGTGTCATAGATTCAAGTTGGTTCTTTAGAACTGTGATAATTTTTCATGGATTTTGGCATTTGGTGATGTCAGTGATTGATTTACTTACCATGCATACTCTTAAACCCATAATGAATTTCCTATAAATATCTATTGATTTGATTTTTAAGCCATTTGGCTTCAAGAGGCTGTTACTAAAACAGTGACTCATTCTTTATCTTTTTTGCCTTCACAGGCTCTGTATAACTTTCTCCTTTTCTTATGCTCCCTCCAAAACAAAGCACTGAGGAAAACAAAATTCACCAGAGTATTCAGCTAGTCAGTTCAAGGGTTTGTGTCCTACATTTGAAGATACTCCTCACAGCAGCTACCAACTGGATACTTCGTTTACATTTGTTATGTAGTAAATATTTATACATTGGCAAATAAATCTAGTGCCAACTCTGTCACCTGAGATGTGCTTACTTTGTTTCCTCTTCTCCATCTCCTGTCAACAGTTAGAAATATGCATTTGAGTATGTGAAGTCTGCAAACGAAAGGGCCAAGGTAGATTTGAATTAGAACACCAGCAACAGTTTCTGGTGCATTCCTGTCTGAAAAAGCAGACAAGATTGGGTACCACCGTGGCTCACACCTGTAATCCCAACACTTTGGAAGCCTGAGGTGGGGGGATCGCTTGCACCCAGGAATTCAAGACAAGCCTGGGCAACATAGCAAGGGCCCGTCTTTACTAAAATAAATACAAAAAATATTAACTGGGTGTGGTGGCGCACACCTGTAGTTTCAGCTACTCAGCAGACTGAGGTGGGAGGATCACTTGAACTCAGGGGCAGAGGTGGCAGTAAGCTGAGATCACACCACTGCACTCCAGTCTGGGTGACAGAGCAAGACCCTATCTTGAGGAAAAAAAAAAAAGAAGCAGCAGCAGATGAGCTCTGCTATATTTCCATGTGGAGCTATGACATTATGTTGTATTGTTTCTTTCAGCTGACTTTCTGTACCGAATGAGGGATTACATGCCTCCTTCCCATAAGGCCTTCATAGAAGACATCCACTCGGCACCTTCCCTGAGGGACTACGTCCTGTCCTCTGGACAGGACCACTTGCTGACAGCCTATAACCAGTGTGTGCAGGCCCTGGTAGACCTGCGGAGCTATCACATCACCATGGTCACCAGATACCTCATCACAGCTGCGGCCAAGGCAAAGCGTAGGAAGCCAAACCATCTCCCAGGGCCTCCTCAGGCTTTAGAAGACAGGGGCACAGGTGGAACTGCAGTTATGACCTTCCTTAAGAGTGTCAGGGATAAGACCTTGGAGTCAATCCTTCACCCACATGGTTAGGAGACTGCCCTCTCCCCAGCAATACAGAGCCCCCATGGAGGGCAGGTGGGCCTGGAGAATGAGGGTCAGGGTTCTGCCTGGGATCATCCAGGAAGGATCTCAGCCCTATTCATGTTCCTGCTCTACAGAGCACCATAATCTCCTTGTCGAGAACTGTTGACTTCACAAAGGAGAGTTGATGTGGCCAAGACTTTCCTTCTCCACCTGATCACTGCTTAACAGCAAGTATCATGGATACTTCCTCATGCAGAACCCCCCAGAGGAGTGACTGTACCCCATTCTCTTTGCCAAGTAATAGAAAACCAATCTGAATTTCAAAAATCAGATAAAATTGCCCGGGGATACATTACCTGCTGATTTTCTTAAAAAACAAATTCACAAGCCTGTAATCCCAGCACTTTGGGAGGCCGAGACAGGCGGATCACGAGGTCAGGAGATCGAGACCATCCTGGCTAACATGGTGAAACTCCGTCTCTACTAAAAAATACAAAAAACTAGCCGGGCGAGGTGGCGGGCGCCTATAGTCCCAGCTACTCGGGAGGCTGAGGCAGGAGAATGGCGTAAACCCGGGAGGCGGAGCTTGCAGTGAGCTGAGATCCGGCCACTGCACTCCAGCCTGGGCGACAGAGCGAGACTCCGTCTCAAAAAACAAACAAACAAACAAACAAACAAAAAAAACAAATTCACTTAACAATTCATTAAGTTCCTACTGAGCACTGCCTCCAAGATTAGAACAAGGATTTCTGTGGTCCCAGACCAGCCCTCTTCTCCCTGAATGTGTTGAGTTTGGTGGCAGGAGATTGGAAATGCTCCAGTGGAGATGTGGAAGAAAGAGGATGCTGACAATAAGGACTTGGATGTCACCAGTGTGAAAATGAGCAGTTAATGATACAGGAACGTTGAGAACGGATGAGACTTTCCACATGGTACCTAGATTTGCAAATTGTATTGTAATGCCTTTCTTTATTTTTAGAAGAATTATTCTCTCTTCTTACTCTGAAAATCTGTATTTGTAAAATGAAAGAATGGATTTTATATAAGTAAATAAGAAAACTGGGAATAAGTAGTAAATTGATGTGGTTAGTGTGCAAATAAATGTAAATGCTTTTATTGACTTGGTTTCTATCTCAAGAGCTCATTCCACCTGGCAGTAGAAAATGAGAAAATTTTAATCAGGCCAATTTATTTATTTATTTATTTTTGAGACGGAGTCTCGCTCTATCATCCAGGCTGAAGTGCAGTGGCGTGACCTCTGTTCACTGCAATCTCTACCTCCTGGGTTCAAGTGATTCTCCAGCCTCAGTCTCCTGAGTAGCTGGGATTACAGGTGCCCACCACCGCGCCTAAGTAATGTTTTTGGGGTTTTTTTTGTCTTTTTAGTAGAGACGGGTTTCACCATGTTGGCCAGGCTGATCTTGAACTCCCAACCTCAAGTGATCCACCTACCATAGTCTCCCAAAGTGCTGGGATTACAGGCCTGAGCCATTACACCCAGTCAATCAGACCAATTTAGAATAAAATAAATTCTGTTAATTGAAGGTTGCCCCTCACCCTCCATGCTGTGCACACACATATACCTGGAATAGCTTCTAAATTCCAGGGAGCCTATCTAGTATCTTGATCACTGAGCAGCCTCTGCCAAGTTCATATATGCTAAGAAGTCTCTCTCCTCACGTGGACACTGGTCAAGTGCAACCTGTGGCCTGTGTCATCATGTCTCAAAGTCCTTCACATTCTCCAGCCCTCAAGGTCCTATCACAATACCTGGAAAAATATCTGACTACTTCCCACCTGCCCTAGGAATATTTGGAGACTGTTATAACCACAGCAACCATCTCCTCTTTCCAGTGTCATGGGGGAAAGAGAATTTTGCAGGTTTGTGAACTCTCGGGGCCCTTGGTAGGACGCCATGAACCAGTGTCTTCCACCTGGGGCACCGGGAGGGCCCTTCCTGTCCTATCTCCACAGGGCTTGGTCTGGCAAAGATGAGGTGGACAGGAAAGACCAAGAGCTTCTTCTCAGAGACACTTTCAGATGCTCTTCCCTGCTGCTGACATTGCCCTCTCTTCTCTAACCCATAAGGAATAATCCTTTTCTAGTCTGGATGGGCCAAGGAAAACGTCTGGCTCTGACGATATCCTCTCTGCCTGTTGTTCAGGTCAGAGTCTCAGCTCAAAGACTTAGGCTACCATGACTCAGAACGCCTTTTCTCTATGCATGCTGTTCTTGTGTTTGAAAAGTCTATTTTGAACCTCAAAAAGTGAGCATGAATATATTTGTTGTTCTTTGATTTGCTCTGGATCAGTAAACTCAGACAGTCTTAACTACCTGGGCTGAGCATGTGCCATGGTCCAAGGATGTGAACAGGTGGCAGAAGAGGACAGAAGCACATTGGTGAATAATCCAAACCATTATTCCTCCCCACTGTCACTCTCAGGTATAAAGCTCATGACCTTTAGAATAAGATTTGTTTGATTTCTGACTTTCCTGTTTTTAAAACAATGTTTTCTGACCAATTTCAGAAAGTCACTAATTCTCAGATTCCTATTTCTTATAAAATCGAGATGATCAGATGGGTCTCAAAGTAGATACAAATAACAGAAGTGATAGTGCCTGGCACAAAGGGAAAATGTCAACAAAAGTTTATTTGGCTATGAGGTGGGGCTCAGAGCATAGATTGCATATATATAGTCAAAAGAGAACATTATATTCTGCCAGCTTCTTGAATCCAAAGCAATAAAATGATTGTTTCTCATTTGGATATGCGGGGAGGTAGAAACTGACAAAACTATGGGCTTCAAGAGCTGAAAAACCAGGCCAGGAGCGGTGGCTCACACCTGTAATCCCAGCATTTTGGGAGGCCAAAGTGGGTGGATCATCTAAGGTTGGGAGTTCGAGACCAGCCTGACCGACATGGAGAAACCCCATGTCTACTAAAAATACAAAATTAGCCAGGCATACCTCTCATCCCAGCCACCCAGGAGGCTGAGGCAGGAGAATTGCTTGAACCTGGGAGGTGGAGGTGGAGGTGAGCCAAGATCGCGCCATTACACTCCAGCCTGGGCAACAAGAGTGAAACTCCGTCTCAAAAAAAAAAAAAAAAAAAAAAAAACTGAAAAATCTGGGTTTGTATTCCAGCTTTGTCACTTATAGACATGTTGTCTAAACTTTCATAGCCACAGTTTGCTTATTTATAAAAGAGGTGATTTCATAATTACTGTATGGAGCTAAATGGTGGTTATCACATTACCATTCTCCCTGTTTGGTCCTTGAACTGGAGAGAATCATGTCTAGGGGTTCCTAAGAACCAGAACAGAGCTTGGAACTGGTGTCTACCTCCTTGTAGTTGGTGAAGAAAAGGGATATGACACCCAATCAAGCAAGAAAAGTGAGATAGAATCTGGATTTGTCTTGAAATCATGTAGACATGTAGTGAGTGATGCAAGGACCTTTGAGTATTGAAGAAAGGATGCCACAGTCGCTTCAGCTTTTAAACCTAGACCTGTACTAAATGGGGACCTATTTTGTGACTTAGTGTTACAGGCTTAACAAGTAATCATCTTAATTGGTTTACTTTTAAAGGATTCAAGTGCACTCAAAAAGACCACAAAACTCGACACAGAATTTTCAATAAATATTGAATAAATGGAAAACTGGATAAATTAAATGAGGTAGGAAGAGAAGTGTACAAAATTTTATCTTTCAAAGCCTTCAGAATATGTTGTGTTTACTTGCTGTCATTAAGCCTTATACACGAGGATGAAATAAAAGCAAATGTTTTTATTTTGTTTGCTAATGAGCAACAATGAACCAATTAACCTAGTTCCTATGTCGGGTATGATTTTCTGGAGCAAGGAGTTCCATTTTCAGCTTGATGTATAATGGTCAAGGTAAAGCTTCCACTACAGAAGAGAACAAAGTTTTCTCAAGTTTCCTAGGGATGAAGGGTATGCACGCCAGTGAAAAAATGGCTATCTAATGTAGAAATATTATTAGGACAGTGTAGGGGTGTGACTGTTGAGCTTGAAGAAATGGCAGAGCTGGTGTTCAAACCTGAGTGTCTAATGTAGACATTTACTTATAATACAAGATGTACAAGTGGTTTATCTTGCTTAACTTTTTCTTTTCTTTTCTTTTTTTTTTTTTTTGAGACAGAGTTGCTCTTGTTGCCCAGGCTGGAGTACAATGGCGCAGTCTCGGTTCACCGGAACCTCCACCTCCCGGGTTCAAGAGATTCTCCTGCCTCAGCCTCCACAGTATCTGGGACTACAGGCATGAGCCACCGTGCCTGGCTAATTTTGTATTTTTAGTAAAGATGTGGTTTCTCCATGTTGGTCAGGCTGGTCTGGGACCCCCAATCTCAGGTGATCCACCTGCCTCAGTCTCCCAAAGTGCTGGGATTACCGTGAGCCAATGTGCCTGGCCTGCTTAACATTTTTGAGTCATAATAGTCACATTTTACATGAAGATAATAGCTACTTTGCAGTGTTTTTGTGAAAAGTCAAGCTCATATATATTGTTAGAGAGTTGGCACTGAGTGAATGGTTGTACTGTGATGATGCTGCTTATTCCCTGAAGATCCTCATGGTCTGGATAAGAAGAAATGTCTAGGGAAGAAAAAGCAGTAGGAGTAGAAGTGTGTGCTCTCTCACCCTGTGAGTTCTGAGGCAAGTGGAGAAGAGGGAGGAAGACATGCAGTCGAGAAATGCTGCAGAGGCGGAGCACGGTGGCTCACGCCTGTAATCCCAGCTGCTTGGGAGGCTGAGGAACGAGAATCACTTGAACCGGTGAGGTGGAGGTTTGCAATGAGTCGAGATCGTGGCATTACACTCCAGCCTGGGTGACAGAGTGAGACTCTGTCTCAAAAAAACAAAATAAAAGAAAAAGAAAAGAAGAAAAATAAGTATTGCAGAAACCCTTGGAGCATGTGTGGAGTCATGTGTGTATGTGCATGGAGGTAAGATGCAGAATTATGACTGAGGATAAAGAGACTGAAAAACTGGCCCAGATTCAGATCCCAGGATAGACACACTCTGGTCTGGGACTTATGTCTTTTGGTTTTTTGTTTTTGTTGTGTTTTGTTTGAGATGGAGTTTCACTCTTGTTGCCCGGGCTGGAGTGCAGTGGTGCATTTTTGGCTCATTGCAACCTCCGCCCCTCAGGTTCAAGTGATTCTTCTGCCTCAGCCTCCGGAGTAGCTGGAATTACAGGCGTGCACCACTACACCTGGCACCCAGCTAATGTTTTTGTGTCTTTAGTAGAGATGGGGTTTCAGCATGTTGGCCAGGCTGGTCTCGAACTCCTGACCTCAAGTAATCTGCCCGCCTCGACCATCCAAAGTGCTGGAATTACAGGCGTAAGCCATCATGCCCGGCCTGTAAGTTTTGTTTCACAATAAGAACAAGAAGGTGCCATGAGATTATACTTTAGG